TAATAAGGTGAAGGTGCTGTAACGTGTAATTAGAAAGTCAAATTTTCATAGTTAAAAATAAGAAATTAAAATTCTACTGTACCATTTCATAAATATGGAACTAAAACATTCACATTGGATGAATTTTTGCAAGATTTTTTATTCTTCAAATATTCTATCTTTTGAATAATTATTCCTTATTCCAAGTTTTCCATAATAACCAATTAAATCAAAAGGACTAATAAATTCAACGAAGAAATTAATCAATGTATCTGGTAATAAAAATCCTAAATACACCAAAAAAAAAAACAATTAAAATACTGTAATTTTTGAGAGGTAATTACTAAACTATTAATATTTAAAAAAACTAGCCAAAAGTGAGTGTTCCACACCCTCATGAAAAACCGACATAATCAATTTTATTTTGCCACATTAATTGCGAATCAATTTGATTGGTGACTCGTCCAATATATAAAAATACAATTGTGAATCTCATCAATCAATTAGCTTTTCTTTAGTTTTTGTTTGGTAAAATGGTTGTTAATTGATAACTGTTAGTTGTTAGCTGTTAGTAGATTGTGTTAATTTGAGGATATAAATAGTTGATAATATTAGCTGATTGTAAAATAGTGTTTGATAACTGATAACTGTTTGGTATAATTTTTTTTCTCAAAAAATTAATTGAAAAAGTTGCTTGAAGTAGCTTTTTAAATTTTAGCTTTTTAGAGTTACAAAAAGGTAATTAACCAAATATTTAAATTAATATTTTAACTAAATCGAACAATTAATAATGGTTAAATAAGTCAAAACTAACCTATAAATCAATTTTTTACGAAACAGGGGCTTAATATTCCTTTGGTAAACGCTTCCAAAAAGAAAAAAATGCTTTGGTAAATGGTAACTCCTCTGCAGTTTCCAATAAGGAAGAATAAATAGACACGTAATAGCCTCCTCATCAGTCTCTATATACACGTGCCTATTCACTATTATTTCAGTGCCCAGTAGCCAGAAATCAGGACTCAGAACCAAACACCAATAAAAAAAAAATAAAAAAGGCCACCCACCACATTCTACAAAAACAGTGTGCTTAGCTTCCCAATTGGCCAATTCTATCGGTGAAACCACCTGTTTAGTGTTTTCTGCACACTGATTAGTGATTACTCTTACCGCCTTTCCTTTCCCTTCCCTTCCTATTTAAGAGTCCGTCTCTTTTTCTATCCCACATCATATCAAAACAAACAACCTGCAAAAACTATCATCAGATCTTATTACTACACCTTCTATTGTTTCCACTAATTTATACTTCAGAATGAGTTCCGGAAGCAGAGCGTGGATTGTGGCGGCCAGCATGGGAGCAGTGGAGGCCTTGAAAGACCAAGGTTTCGCAAGATGGAATTACGCTTTGAGGATGATCCAACAACATGCAAAATCCAACCTCCGGCCCTATTCTCAGGCGACGAGGCTGTCGTCTCCCTCCTCGGCGTTGGTCTCCGGCAAGATGAGAGAAGATAATAAATTGAAACAAGCCGAAGAGTCTTTGAGAACTACCATGTATTTGAGCTGTTGGGGACCTAATTAATAATTTAGTTATTTTTTGATCTGTCTTCGATCAGTCCCTCCATGTACATATATATATATATGTGTGTGTGTGTAATTGGAGATGAAGCAAATGTGAAATTGATATATTAATTCTTCAATTGCACGAGTTTTTTTTTGTTGATCATCAATGCCGCCTTCACCATCTCTTTTTTCTATTTTAATTTTAGGGTTTTCTTAGATGAATAGTTGCAATCATAACGCAATTCATCACAAATCTTCAATAGCATTGAAGGTGTTGTGTTGATATATATATTAGATCAGAGCTGATTTTAGGAGATCGAGAATATATATATATCTCTTGGTAAAATTAGGGAAAAACAATGTTTAGTTGCAAATTTCGATCCTGAACCAGAAACATCTAGAATACTGAATTTGACACTGAGAATAGAGATTGGGGAAATTCTTCAACTTGACTACTGAATTTGATTTGGAAGACTACATCAAACTTCAAAAAACCAAAAGGCCGCCGGAGAATCAAAGACTTGCACAGGAAAATATAACATCAAAAGCACTTGAAGCCAAGATAACATAGGGTGGAGCTAGGTGCTGTAAGGTGTGGTTAGAAGGTCAAATTGTCAAGGGTATCATTCTGATATTAACTTAGGGTTCTAAAACTAAGAAACTAAAAGCAAAATATTACTTCGACTCACAAATTTTACTTTCTATTTTTATTCTTTCATTCAAAATTTTAATGTTAATACTTTCTTTGTATCATAATTTATCTTTTCATGTTAATACTTTCTTTGGATCATAATTTTTCTTTTCTTACATCAAGAAATAAAAGATTGTGAGATCATATAATAAAATTCAAACTAAAATTTTATTGTTCCATCTCATAAATGCAGAACTAAAGGAATGAATCTTAAAACTGATAATGACTTGTGCTAAGGAGTGACCTATGTTTTTATATTTTATAATTTAGCAAAAAAGGACAAAACTATAATAATAACAAAAAATATTGATTAGATACACGCACCAAACGCCACCAGATTGTAGGAAAACAGTGTGCTTCCCAAATCTATCGGTGAAACACTGAAACCGCCTGTTTTATACTCATTGTTTAGTCTCGCCGGCCTCCTTTTTCCTTCCTATTTAAGACTCTGTTCTTGTGTCCCTTTACCAAACAAAACCAGCAAAAAACTTCATCAGATCATATCAGACTTCATCATCATCCCAAGTAAAACTTTCAGATTTGATCAATACCAGCCCAGAAGAAGAAGAATATGAGTTCAGGAAGCAGAGCGTGGATTGTGGCGGCGAGCGTGGGAGCAGTGGAGGCCTTGAAAGACCAAGGCTTCGCAAGATGGAATCACGCTTTGAGGATGATCCAACAACATGCGAAATCAAACCTCAGGCCTTACTCTCAGGCTACGAGGCTGTCGTCTCCCTCGTCCGCGTTGGTCTCCGGTAAGATGAGGGAAGAGAAATTGAACAAGTCGGAGGAGTCTTTGAGAACTGTAATGTATTTGAGCTGTTGGGGACCTAATTAATAATTGAGTTAATTGCATCCCTCTGTTTTGGATCTGTCCCTGTACAATTGTACATGTAATTAGAGATGAAGCAATTAATATAACCATTTTTCAACTGAACGTCAAGTCCCCCATGCCTATCTATTTCAATTGTTATTTTTTGTCTTTACGATACACAAAAATTATTTGGAAGACCAATGCATATGAACAGCAAAGCCATGTTATGTGCGAAATAGAAAATCCTATTTTACCTTTGATTGAAGGAAATTAATTTTCTTACAAGTTGTTTGGTTGAAATGTAATTACATCACTATTAAACTCACATATATATATATAGCATTGAGAGAAAACCTCACTATCCCCTTATTCACCACGACCACCTCATATACGCAAGCTCAATCCAATGAGCCAACCTTCCTAAGAGCATCTTGATTAGGGGATTCTTTATTGTTTTAAAGAAAAAATTGTCTAACACAGAAGAAAGAGGAGCAAGTGAGAGAATATACGGAGTCCTCCTCCTAATTTAGGGGTTTTGTCAGCCCCATTAGGGGATTGTTTATTATTTTAAAGAAAAAATTGTCTAATATAAAAAAAAGAGAAGCAAGTGAGAAAATGGATGGAGTCTCATCCTAATTTAGAGTTTTTGTCAACCTGTGGGCTCAATTGAAGAACAATTCGTGCCCTGCACCCACCAGTTAGGCGCGTTAATTACCTTGTTTTTTCCCTAGTTTAATTTAATTTTATTTATTTTTTCTCTATTTTCTATTTTTTCTTTCTTAATTACACCTACAAAAACCACATTAAAAATCTCACTATTAAGAATGCCTTAACCCCTCCAAACATAAGTAGTTATCCTTACTCATCCTCAAGCTCAATCCGATGTCATTAGATTCTTTATCTTCTCAGACCAATTGAGCAACTATATGGCCACTAGGTCCTTCTGCTTTATGGCTCCTGGTCTTAAAGAATTCATGAAATTATAATTGTAGCCTTGTAAAATTAGTGTTTGGTCATTTAATTTAATGTTACCTTCTTGTGATTCAATTCATTGCATTTCTGGGATTAGTAATGCTACATTTGTTTACCTAAATCACCATAGCAAAATAAATTCTTTATTATTATTATTGGAAAATGAATTATTTTTCTATTTCTGGTATGTTATCTATTCAACATGATATGCCAACGTTTATTGGGATGAGATTTTTAACCTGTGTTCTTTGATTTAAAATAATAATAGTGATACTATTAAATGACAATGTATTTTACACAGATAGTAATTTGTTAACTTGTTTTAGTAGATAAAATAGTATTTTTGTCTCAAATCGAATTGCAAGATAAAGGTGTCATTTACCTTGTATAGTAAGGAGTGATTTATATTTTATCAATCATATATCATCAAGCATCAACCAAAAAAGGACAAAAACTATAATAAATAAAGAAAATTTTATATTTTATCAATCATATACGGTATACCAATACCATCAACTAAAAAAGGACAAAAATTATAGTAAATAAAGAAAAATGGATAGATGCACGCACCAAATCCCACCATACTGTAGAATAACAGTGTGCTATCCAAATTAATCTATTGGTGAGGTGAAACGTAACCGCCTGTTTTATACACTCTGGTTTTGTCTCGCCTCCCTTTTCTTCCTATTTAAAAACCAAACCAAACCAGCGAGATCTCACATTATCATCATCCATTCACTTCCAAGTTTTGATCAATACTACTCCAGAAGAAGAAGAAGAAGAAGTATAATGAGTTCAGGAAGCAGAGCGTGGATTGTGGCGGCGAGCGTGGGAGCAGTGGAGGCCTTGAAAGACCAAGGCTTCGCAAGATGGAATTACGCTTTGAGGATGATCCAACAACATGCCAAATCCAACCTCAGATCCTACTCCCAGGCTACGAGGCTGTCGTCTCCCTCCTCGGCGTTGGTCTCCGGCAAGATTAGGGAAGAGAAATTGAAGCGGTCGGAGGAGTCTTTGAGAACTGTAATGTATTTGAGCTGTTGGGGACCTAATAATTAATTAAGTTGCGTCCCCCCATTTTTAATCTGTCTTAGCTTCAGTCGCTGTATGTATATGTGTTATTAGAGATGAAGCAATTCAATCAGTGTAGCCATTTTTGAACTGAGCTTTTCCCGGCCTGATCCTATCATCAAACTCCGCCTTGCCGGCCTATCTCTTTTATCTATTTCAATTTTGGGCTTTTTCAGAAGGAATGTATGCGCTCACAACGCTCTGAAATACAAATCTTCTGGTAGTATAGGATAGGTAGAGAAGCAGCAAGTTAAGGATATATAATACGATGAAGGCCCATTGGCAAATGCCAAGAGATTGAGTCGAATAGTTATGCTGTGCATCTGTATGTACCATGCATGGTGCATACAGATGCAAAAACGACGTCGTTTTATTAAAAACGCGCGTCTCCCCTTTAAAAAAAAAATTTAGGTTCGATTCCTAGTAACAACATTGTTTTGTTCATTCATTATGAAATTTTAGTTCATGGATTATGGAATTATAGTTCATCGATTATGGAACTATAGTTCATCGATTCTGGAATTATAGTTCATCGATTCTGAAATTATAGTTCATAGATTCTAGAATTTTAGTTCATTCATTCTGAAAATTTTAGTTCATAGATTAGATCATGGAATTATAGTTCATCAATTATGAAATTATAGTTCATCGATTATGGAATTATAGTTTCGAACCTAATTTTTTTTTTTAAGGGGAGACGCGCGTTTTATAAAAACGATGTCGTTTTTGCATCCGTATGCACCATGCTTGGTGCATACGGATGCACAGCATAATTTGCCGATTGAGTCGTCACGACACCACTCCAAAATTTTTAACGTCTCAATAGGGTATACACCAGTTTATAATAATAATAATAATAATAATAATAATAATAATAATAATAATAATAATAATAATAATAATAATAATAATAATAATAAGGGAAAACGATCAAATAGGTCATCAAACTTTAGCTTAAAAGTCAATTAGACCCCAAAATTTTTTAAAAGTGCAATTACACCCATCAACAATTCATTTAGGTGCAATGAAGCCCAAAAACAAGTTAATGACCTGCTATCACAGGTCCCACCTTTCGGCGAATTTTTCGGCAAAAAAAAAGTGACCAGAAACCGACCCAGATTTGCCGAAAATTCGCCGGTCACTTTTTTGTCAGAAATTTCGCCGGTCATTTTTTTTTTTTTTTTTTTGCCGGAAAATTCGCCGGAAGGTGGCCTTAACCTTAATGACCTGTGATAGCAGGTCATTAATTTGTTTTGGGGCTTCATTGCACTTAAATGAATTGTTGAGGGGTGTAATTGCACCTTTAAAAAGTTTAGGGGCCTAATTGACTTTTAAGCTAAAGTTCGAGGGTCTATTTGACCATTTTTCCTAATAATAATAATAATAATAGTAGTAGGTGGCGGTGATGGTGGTTGATGGGGTTGTGTCGATGGTGGTGGTGATGGTGGTTGTTCGGGTTGTGTGGTGATGATGGTGTTGTGTCGGTAGTGGTGATGGTTACAGTTGTGTCGTGCTGGTAATATGGTGGTGGTGATAATTATAATAATCCCGAAACTAGTTTAATTTGAAAAGAGAAGAGAGAAATGATAAATACGGAAAAAAAAAATTCAAAAAATGTCTTCCAAATAGAAATTTAAGAAGATGTTTTTTATCAAATATAATTGAACATTTTTTTCGTTGATTAGAATGATTTTTTTAACTTTATTTTTCTTAATACCTAAATACGAAAAATTGAGAAAATAACGGTTCCAAAACTGCCATAATTGTGAATATAGAGTTCAAAAATGATGAACATAGAGTTTTGTAATTGTAAGGGTGGTAAAGGAAGAAGGTTGGTCCAAATCTTGAGTTAGTTAGGCATGGTGGCCCAAAAATGCACAAAAGAGTAGAGAGAAGGAGTTCGCCACCAATGCACCACACATTAGCTTGGAGTAAAAAGAAGTGAGGGTGGTGAAGGAAGGATGTTGGCTCAAATCTTGTTAGGCTACGAAGGCATGGTAGCCAAAAAAGACACAAAAGAGTAGAGAGAAGGAATTCACCACAAGTGCACCACACATTGACTTGGAGTAAAAGATCGAATCCAAAACCTCCAACATAGCACACATGTACCAACCCACCACGCCACTCCATCATTTGTGTACTAAGGTTTACTACTTCTATTTGTTCTCACATTCATGGGTTGACATATTTACAAACTTGGCATCACCGACCAGCGATTCGGCGGCTTGGCCCACCGGCCATCTCTAGCCATGGCGCCCCCAGCAGGCCTGATGCCCCCCATGGTGTGGCGACGACGCCCTGCGAGAAGGAGGGCGCAGTATTAAAGGTGTACATGTGTATAGCTAGGGTGGTGAAAATGTGCTAACTACTAATGCATGTAGAGTGATAGCATGGACAAGTGGGTGGTAGTCATAAAGAGTGAAGCATCTCCATCCACTTGGCAAGACATGGGGAGCTCTTGAACGCCATAAAAGGGAGTGTCTTGCCTCCCTTAAGAGGACAATATGATCTGATCAATGCAAGCGCCCTGATCTAGTGGTTTCTTGTCCATTTTTTCAACTCATCAACCATGGTTGATTCCCATTAGCTACACTATTGTCCTTAGTATTTCTTAACCCGTATTTGAGTTTAAAAGCATGGCTTTTTCAACAACTTTATTCCTGAAAATGATCGTAACTGAACGATGATTTCAGCTGAGATAAAGGCGGGCTTTATATTTTGTCGTCAGCAAAAGAAGGGACAAAAAAATTAAAAAGTATGGATAGATACACGCACCACATTCAATTCCACCACGCACATACTGTACGTACAACATAATAACAGAGTGCGGCTTCCCAAATCTGTTGGTGAAACCACCTGTTTCATACACATTGGTTATGTCTCGCCTACTTTCTTCTTCCTATTTAAGAGCCCAGGCCAGCTAGTATCATACCAAATTGTACTGCCAAAAACTTTAAGATCATCCATTTACTCCATTTAATTTCCAGTAAAGCTTTGAATTCTGATCAATACTACTCAATCGATCGAGAAGAAGAATGAGTTCAGGAAGCAGAGCGTGGATTGTGGCGGCCACCGTGGGAACAGTGGAGGCCTTGAAAGATCAAGGCTTCACAAGATGGAATTACGCTTCCAGGATAATCCAACAACGTACAGCTGCCAAATCCAACCGCAACAGCTACTCCAGGATGTCTTCTTCTTCCTCCTCCTCGCCCCTGCAGGCCTCCGCTAAGATGACGACGGAACAGAAATTGAACAAGTCGGAAGAGTCTTTGAGAACTGTCATGTATTTGAGCTGTTGGGGACCTAATAATTGATTTCAATTCATTTGTGCCTCATCTCCATCTTTAATTTCTGATCTGTACATACATATTGTGAGAGCTAGAACTGAACTCATTTATTCACTGCAAAAACATCCAATAAATAAAGTACAAAGCATAAAAAAAGAAACAAGTTAACCAAAGCCCACAAGACAAGGCCAACACAAACTAAAAACAGACTGAGTATCAAACATATATGTGTTTTTGGAGATGAATCAATTAATTTAACAAGTTTCCCAATTTGGAGAAATTGAATTCGGAATAAAATTTACAAAAAGTTCTCTGTGCGAATCATATTTCATATTACACCAGAGTACAATTCAGAAAATGAGTGATGTACAAAGTATTGTGAGGACATTATGTTATTCATGTATTATATGATACAAACTTAAATATTCTTCCAACTCTTTTTAGGTTACACTAGGTACAAGAAACGCTTATAACATTAGAATGGACTTATAAATTTTTCCTACAATTTATAACATTACTTTTTCAAAAATTGAGTTTTGAAAATAAATTTAGAGAAGTAGAGAAATTAAAAAAAAAAAAAAATCCAAAAATTTTTGAAGTGAAGATACCTTTTGTGTGGTAAGGCAGCAACTTGGTCTGTGACAAATGACAATAGCGAAAAAAGATCGGAGAAGATTGGCTTGGCGGACCCATACATAATACTTGAGGCAGAAAATGAAGCTGCCACCACACACAGCTGCAAAATAACCAGTTTAATTACTGAAATTAATTTCTCACGTGCTTTCATTCTCCAGACGTCCCACCTCCAATACCACCAATTAAAACTGTGGGTTAAAATTTCCTTGAATTGGCTATGGTCCTGTTTCTTAAATGGACGTTAGCTGTTAGTTGCTTGGGTTAATTAGAATGTATAACTAGTTGATAACATTAGGTGATTGTAAAAAGATGTCTGGTAAATTAATTGTTAGCTGATAACTATTTGGTATAATTTTTTTTTTTCAAAAAATTAATTGAAAAAGTTGTTTTGAGTAACTTTTTAAATTTTAACATTTTAGAATTAAAAAAACTAATTAACCAAACATTTATATTGATGTTTTTAACCAAATCAAACAATTAATAATGGTCAAATTGATCTGAATGTTCAGACTTCCAAAAGTATATATATAGATTTGTACTTTCTATCACTTCCAAATTGATGTAAATGTTGAATCATTTATGAACCTATACGTATCTCCAGCTTCGCTATACTAGCACTATACTCTTTTTGATGTTTTCCAGCCTAACTAACCCCCTGTTATTGCAAAACAACGGTTGCGAATCTAGCGACTACAACCCCAGTTTCAGGGAGACGAACCTCCTAGATGCCACGTCCGTGCCCCCCCCCCCCCCCCCCCCCCCCCGCCTCTATATACATATATATATATATATATATATATATATATATATATATACACGCACACTAGCTTGGTTATATACAAGGTTTGTTGTGATTACCTTTTGATCCAGTAATTTTCTGTGAATTTCTAGATTTCAGCCTGCCTAACAGAGTTGATGATGAGCGGGAAAAGCCGGGCGTGTAAATTTGAGGCGACGTTGAAGATGATGCAGCGGGCGCAGGAAATGAGTGCTGGCGAGTCCGTGAACGTTAAAAGCAGCGAGACAAGGCGGGATGGCACCGCCTGGGGGGAATTAACGGCGAAGAGATCCTCCTCAGGGGACGATGAGAAATATCACCACAGGAAGAGAAGTCTAGAGAGAGCAGAAGATCTGTTCCATTTGATTTATTAGGGGCCTCACTAGATGATTCAATTCGCGATCGAGTATTAAAGCACACCCATTCCAGATTTCCAGGGCGCGCCCTTTTTTTTTTTTCAGATTACTGGTTTGTGCAAAGCAAAGGGTAAAGGGCAGCTGGTCATCTCGATAGCAAAGTCTAATATGGAGTTAAGCTATAGTAAACATCGCTTATTGCTCTAAGTAGTAATATTAGTGTGTTTATCTTTTAATTGATGGAATTGGATATTGGAATTTTTGAATTACAAAGTTCTACAAATATTATATAATTAATATTAAATGTACACATCACACATACACTAAATTTTAAATTTCGAAGATCGAAAGTAATTTAGAATTCAAAAATTGTTTGTTTTTTTTTTTTTTAATAAACAAAAGTAATTCAATTCATCTTTATCTTTATTATTTTAAATATGAGTATTCGGATTTTTACGCAATCCCAGGTAAGAATTTTCCCTTCGCACCCTGGCGGCTGTATTCGATCAACCTAATTCTCCCGCCCATAATAGGTATGGACAGTGGGCTTCCTTATCCCATGACCTTTTTCAAAATGTAAGTGCACATTTACTCTAGAGGTAATATGTATATTGGTGTTTGTAACTTCTTTTTTTTTTTTCATCTTTATACTTATTATTTTAAATAAATAAATAACATCATCTACCCCTCCAATTAAAATCCTTTTGATTTTTTATTTTCTCCTATTTTTTTTTATTCATCCGACTCCTTCACCACAAAGCATCATCTCTCATCTCCATTCGAACAATTGCGACTATTTAATTGTTACGAAATGTGTCTCATAAGATTATTTATACTTATTCCATATCCTCAACGAATGGTAGAGATCTACTTGATCGTATAACTATGATTATATCTCTAAAATCTTCCCTAAAATTCTATACAATCATATGAGTTCTATAATATTTTATAAGATTCTATAAATCTCTACACTTCTAATGTGTGTGTGCGCGTGCACGCATGTGCGTGTGTGTTTCAAACGTGTACATTCTTCTCTTTGAAGTTGTATTGAGAGGTCGTTTAGAGTATTGAAGAAGAGATGAAAGATACTTGCTAAAATGACACAGTATAGTGTTGAGACCCAAATTGATGTTATTATGTTTTTTTTTTTTTTCTTCGAGTGCATATTTTCCTTCTCTGAGTGCACATGTTCTGTCTCAGTACTTAGTTTTCCCCTTACTGCAAATTTTTGTAACGTTGAGTGCAAAAATTTAGCATTCAAGTACACATTTCTATGCATTCAAGTGCACATTTTTGTGCATTTCAATTGCATATTTATGGGTCAATTGTATTATATGTTTTGCATTCTTTCAATAATCTATAACTAAAATTTTAATGAAATTTGTGATATTTACAAACGATTTGTAAGATACTTGTTAAAATGTCACATTTTAGTGTGGAGACCCAAATTGATGTTATTATGGCCACATTTGCACTACATAATTATATTCGTAAGATGACATGATGTTTAATGTGCTTAAGCAACATCCGGATTATATACCGTCCGATGAACTTCAAGATTCAAGTAGTAACATCTCCATCAATGAAATTTAAGTGAGACCTCTATTGAGTTTAAGGAGATTGACAACAATATTGCTACTTCATTATGGGATGCTAGATCATGATTATCCTAATAGTTTCATTTCAAACTATTAAATTTTAATATGTAAACAAACCTATTTAAATTTAAAATTAATTTTGAGAGAACCTCAAAAAATAATTATTTTAATGATTTTTGTTAGGCCATATGGAATGAAGAGGAGAGATAAAAAAGAGAGTTAAAAAAAATGTCAGAATATTTATTTTAAATAAATTTACTTTGCCAACTACCATGTAGTGTGATGACATCCTGGTTATCATTCTAAATGGATGGTCATAGATTTGGACCGATGAACCGATATTACCTAGGGATGTCAATCGGGACAGCCCCCTCGGTTTCAGGCTAGCCCTGTCGGGTTGTCAGGCTAATCGATTCGTGCTAATCAGTTTATTAATATTTTATTCTCAGGTTTAGTTTAGCCCTAACCTTAAACTTCGGGTCGAGCTAATCAGGCGGGTTGAACCATCTAAACTAAAATTAGAAACTGAAAGTGAGTATCCATATTTAGAGTAGGGATGACAACGGGGCAAGAAGTATACTCCCTGTCTCCATCCTCTGTGAGAAAGTGAAAATAGTCCACATCCTCGTCCCCGTGGAGAATTTGACGGGGACGGAGAACCCCCATCCTCTGTCAATTTTTAGTAAAAATATTAAATTAATGTAGTTTTAAATCTTTAAAATTAAAAACTTAAGTTTTAATTTAAATTATATATATATGTGTGTGTGTGTGTGTGTGTGTGTGTGTGTGTGTGTGTGTGTGTGTGTGTGTGTGTGTGTGTGTGTGTGTGTGTGTGTGTGTGTGTATAGGCTATTTTTCTGGTGCGAACCATTATTAACATGTGAACTTGTGGAACAATCCGGTGCGCTGATGTACTAAATCCTAAGGCCCAAGATAACATTCGCACATCACCCCCCTGCACCACGTAACATGGGATACACCAGAGTCCAATTGCAACCACACTTCTCCCCCCCCCCCCCCCCCCCCCCCCACACTGCACCACGTAACATTGCGCAAGAATTTGAATAGAGATTAACACTGCAACTTCCGCTTGTATTGCGAGTTATGCGGTTCGGACACCTCTTCCGTAAAACACCCGTGCGTGAACAGCGTAAGATGACGACAATCAACCCCAATGCCGGCGGCGTAACAGGTTTGTGAATAATTATTCCCATGCATCGTTACCGCACTGTTTTTCTTCCCCCGTAACATCCGTTCGGTGTTTATGCAGAAGGCGTCGCGACGATAACGGAAACCGCGCCTGAACCAGAAGTTGCTATGGGTTTAATAGCGACCGGCCAACAACAATGGACCCCCACCGTGAACGCTTCCATCAGGCCGACGCAGGGGCGTGTATTTAAAACACTCAATGAAGGTATCCAATGCTATATCAACTATGCTCGAATCTGCGGGTTTGATGTCCGCCAGAGTTCCGTGAAGCGCGACCGAGACGGAAAAATCTACTCACGCTATTTGGTGCGTAGCCGGCAAGGGGTGAAAGGTGGTGGTAATAAACCTCCCGATAATGAGCGGGTACTAGGTGGGAGAGAGAAGCGGGAGCGGCGCCGTCGTCTTTCTAATAGAGTTAATTGCGGAGCGAAGATCGGCTTTACAAAAAAAAAGCTCCGGCGAGTTCAAAGTGGCCGTTTTGATTGAGGAACACACCCACAAGCTATGCTCGGAGCCATCAAAAGTTTTTATGCGAATTAACCGACAGCTCGATGTGGTCTAACAAGCTTTTTTAAGTAATTGTGTTAAGGCTAACATCGGTTCTTCAACAGGATTGTGGTTCTGCAAAGAGGCGACCGGATCGTATGCTAATATCGGTGCAACCGACGTTGAATTCCACAATTTTAAACGAGACGTCCAAACGTACGTCGATGTAGCTGATGGCGAGATGATTATTGCAACATTCAAGGCAAAGCACGAAGCTTGTAGTGACTTCTTCTTTGAATACGATCTGGATGAAGAGCACTGGGTATCATGACTATTCTGGGCTGACCCCCTCAGCAGGCGGAAATTTTCTTGCTATGGCGACAACATATCTTTCGATGCAACCTATGGCACGAATAGGTACGGTGCTGCAATTTGATTCTCAATCCCCCTTGTTTAATGCATGTTGATGTTGGTGGTGTGCAGTGGTTATAATATAATGGAGAACTCCCATCGTTAGTTGTACATACATATAGTATAGCTTCGCATTTTCCATTCAAATTTCTGACATCATTGTTATGTTCTTCTAGCTATTATATTTAATTGGTGGTGCATGGTATATAGTATGTGTTGGATGGAGTGATAGTACACGTGCTTTGGCTACTAGTATGTGTTGGATGGAGTGATTTAGTTTCCACTTTATATGATCACATTATTCACAGAATTAAACTTGTGTTCCAACAATAATGCCACACTGCACAGAAATTGGTATAGCCCATTGTCAACTATATGGCTTATGTTGTGTTTTTTGGTGCCAATGTTGTCTCTTGGAGATCTGTTAAACAACGATCTGTGTCTCGGTCTTCTACAGATACTGAGTTTCGGGCACTTGCTAACTGTGCTGCTGAGGTCATGTGGATTCAAAATTTTTTAAAAGAGCTTGGGGTTTGGTTACAACGTTCGCCTGTGCTAGTTACTGATAATTTAAATGATTCGTGTGTGTGCAACATTGAGAATAAAAAAAGCAAATTTCTGTACATCCCTAAAACACCGTCGAAGCCCCACCCGAAAAATTTAAACAGATTAAAAAGACTAACCTTTCTGCCTCAATCGCCGCGCCACCCTGGCCGCTACCCCCGACGCCGCCCAGTCGTACCCGCCGTGATTACTGCCGTTCGGACGGACGATGGAACTCCGGCGACAGGTCCGTCGTTTGAACGCTCGCGAGGCTGACGGAGGGGTCAAAGGCGATAATTGATGGCCGGCCCTTCCACGCTTCGTCTGGCGACTACACCCACTAGACCGGGCCATGCAAGCTGTTCCGACTACCTGAGCGCTAGAATTCCGATGGGGTTCAGATGCTCGAAGTTCGTCGCGGGTTGAGAAGCACTCTGGGCGATTGAGTCGAAGAGGACCAAAATCACTCGGGTTGAGAAGAGCTCTGAGCGATTGAGTCGAAGAGCAACAAAATCACCTGCCTGAGCGCTAGAATTTTAATGGGGTTGACATAGCTCGAAAGAGGCGGGGGTTGAGAAGGGGTCTGAGCGATTGAGTCGCAGAGGAACTAAACCACACAGCTTCATCTACAATGGGCTCCGATCCAGTACGAAAACGCCCATATTGCGTCGTGCACCCTCGTTCGCGTCCGTTGATCATACCAAGATGAACGGATGGCATCGGTTCACAAGTCCACACCTAAACAAAAGTTCACACCTGAACAGTTCTCTCTCTCTCTCTCTCTCTCTCTCTATATATATATATATATATATATATATATATATATATATATATATATATATATATATATATATATATATATATATATATATATATATTTATAATTATAATAATTATTCCATATATGTTAGGTTTCACATCACTAAAGAATAATTTTCAATAGTTCAGGTTATCGGGTCATCGGGCTTATCGGTTTCAGGCTTATCGGACTAATATTTTTTTTTATCGGGCTAGCCTGTTCATGCTATAGCCCTATCGATTTCGATTTTATTAGGTCGGTCCACCAAGTTCGGGCTAAATTGACATCCCTAATATTAACTTATAAAAATCTTGAATATTTCAAAAAATAAATTCACTTTAACTTCTCTTATCTCATAATAATATTTCGCTCCATAATTAAAATGTCACTTGATCATTTCTATCAAAGCACTTTATGAGCGGAAATAAAGACACCACAACATTGACTAAGACCATTTACACATGACCACGGTTATTCCAAATTATGATCCACCGTGTCCAATTCAACCATTCACCGTGCGAATTGAAGTGGGTTAGGTAATAATTGTAGCAGGTCAATATCAAGTTTTCAAAGAGTATGGTAGAAGGTCATCCCTTAAGTCACCATAATAAATACAGTATGGATCCTCTCCCCTCATTTTTGCGTCACTTCTAAGTTGACGGCTGAGATAACAGTGAGATTACACTGTTTAAACAAATAATGCTGAAATACTGAAATCAGTGTCTTACCCTTCTACTAAATTTCTACAGTTAAATTAATTGCAATCTATGTAGTATGGAAATAGGAAACATGAAAAAACAAATATTTTTTTAAAGAAAAAAACTTGTAAATATATATTAAATAAAAATAGTATACTAAATCACTAATACATATTAAATACTAAATCAATTTAAAATAAAAAAAAATACAATTCCAAAATATTTTTAAATTTGAAAAGTTAAACATTTTAGTTATTTATGTTTTCATTAACATATTAGCATAATACTGAGTATTAAATAAAGGTAATATTAGTATATTACTTGTGTTAAAGTTTATACTGTTTAATTAATATGATTTACCACTCTACAATTTGATCGAGTTGAGAGGAGGGATTTCGCCTTTGTGGACAAGTTTATATTTGTTTATTTAATGTGATTTAGGGTGTGTTTGGAAATCTAAGAAAAATGACTTTTGAAAATCATTTTTTTGGTTTCTAATGTTTAACTAGAGGAAAAAATGGAAGTCAATTAAAAATAAGGGTGTGGCCAATGAAAAATACGGGGAATTTTTTAGAAAATGACTTTCCTTTTTTGGAGCAGTAATGGAACAACCAATCACCCGTCGCCGCCCTGTCACCACCATAACCCTTCTACCACCACCACCACCACCACTACTACCATCATTGTATATTTTAAATATTTAAAATTAAAAATAATTATGTTCATTTTCTACAAAATGAACCAAACACCGCAAAACAGAATGCAATCAAACACTAGAAATAAAAATATTTTTTAAAAAATGATTCATTTTTCAACTGTCATTTGCCTGCTTTTCAAACGGATCCCTCAATTCTTTGGTAGCTAATTAATATGAAAGAATGTGACAATAAATAATATTTAAAACACTAAATCGACGTAATTTACGGAGTAATGTAATTTGGGTAATTTTTTTTTAAAAAAAAGAGCTTCACAAAACACACTAGTCCGTACGGTACACGTTTTCCTGTGAGCTGACCTGCTTGGGCGTAGCCCACAATTGGAGTCAACGTAAAACAAAATGCCCCGCAAATCAGAACAGACCTGCGCTCCCCGTTTTGAACATTCATGGCCTCACCTCCCAATTAACTACGCTTTAAACAATTATTATTATTCTCAGATTCCGGCGAACTAATGACAATCGGCGATCACAGCAAGTCCGACGGCAAGCTCTGGAAGCTCTGCCCTTTCTGGCAATCCGGAACTGCCTCTTCTTCCTCCACGGCTTCCACTCAGAACCTCAACTCTGCTCACCGAAACGGCGTCGGATCCACCACTACTTCGCGCTCCTCCACTTCTGTCTCCTCCGTAGCTAGATCCTTCCTCCCTGCTCGCCGTCGCCTGCGCCTCGATCCGGCTAATAATCTCTATTTTCCTTGTGCGTTTCTTCATTTTAACCGTTGACTTGCTCATTTCATTTTCTTTCCCAATTTTGTTACCGAATTTCTTCCTGCGTTTTTATGCTGACTCATAGATTTTCCTTTTTTAAATGATTTGTCTGATGAAGATGAACCGGGAAAACAGGCAAGAAGTGCTGTTAGGATTAAGAATACTAGCAAATCTTATGTAGCGTTCAAGGTAACTTCTCTTTCCTTTTTCAGTCCATCCTTTGCATATCTGGAAGGCTATAGCCTGGGATTATACTATTTATATTTCTAATTTTAGTTCTTTTCCTATTTTAGAATAAATTACCAAATATTTTCCTGAATTTGTTAAGCTACTTGGAAGGAAGTTGACATATAAATAATGATGGGTGTATTATTTCCTCCCTTTTGCAAGTTCATTTTGGTAAATAAAGAAATGTTGAAGCAGAATTTTGGACTATACATAGTTATACTATGTCATATATTATCATTAATATGATCATGATTATCACTGCTTTTATGGTTTGCCTAAAACGAGCAGTGAAGTAAACCCTTTATCTGCATTTGTTTTGTTATTTAGTTCCAAACAACTTCGCCGAAGAGCTGTTATATGCGACCTCCTGGGGGTATTCTTGCACCTGGTGAAATCATTATTGCTACAGGTAACAGCCACAAATCTATTTCTGTTTGGCTTTTATTGCAATCCACACATTAGTTCTCTGGTGCATAATCTGTGGTTGCTGCTTGCATTTTGAATTTTGATCTGCTTGACAGTATTCAAGTTTGTGGAGCATCCAGAGAACAATGAAAAGCCTCCCATGGATCAAAAGAGTAAGGTCAAGTTCAAGATCATGAGCTTGAAGGTGAAAAAAGGAGCAGAGTATGTGCCTGAATTGGTGAGTTTTATGAACTTAAATGTCATTTTTATTTCTGGAAAAGGAAGCCATTTACCAAAAAAAAAAAAAAAAAAAAAGAGGAAAATTCCTTCCTAAGCTTTTTCCCCCCTTCTTTTTCAGAACCAATTTATATGGGAACAAAGTGAGTTATTATGCATCTAAGTAGTCACATTATTTCTTTATCAGTTCTTACACAAAAGTACAGTTTCTAAGATTAACTGTTATTTAATATGGAGTACTATGGAGTAAAAGATATTTGTAAACTTATATAGGTGTTGGCCTTCATTAGAAAGAAAAGGGGAAAATTCCTTTGTAACGTCTCCACATCTTTGAGAAATGGTTTAAAATCATGATAATGAATGATATGCTATTTGAGAAATGGCTTAAAATCATGAAAATGAATGATATGCTGTTGCGACCTTTGTTATATACACCGTAAAATTAATACCATGGCCCATGGGCAAAGAGGAAATTTACCTTGCATTCGTCTGTATTGTCCTTGATTCTAATTCAGCATTTTGATGCAAAAAGCTAAGGTAATTATTTCCTGATACAGTGTCAGGTTTCCTTTTTGATACTCACCAAAGTCTTATATTTGTACTGATGTTTCTGCATGAAGCATTTTGACAGGAAAAAATTGAATGCTTTTGAAATCTGCAAATTCTACTTCGATTTGACATAAATCTAAGAGTTAATTCCATTTTTGGTCCTCAATTTATAGGTGTCAATCCACTTTTAGTCCTTTTTTATTAGAACATCTATATTTGGTCCTAGTATTATTGTGGCATGACCATTTTTGGTCCTCTGTCAACAAAATCGTTAAAACAAAGGCATTTCGATCATTTTTATACAAAGTGAGTTGACCTCGTTATATTTTTATGTTTATTTTTTTGAAAAAATCCATAATTGAAGACCAAAATGGCTTTGTATTTAACAACATTAAAACTATTTTGTTGATAGAGGACAAAAAATGGTCATGCCACAATAATACTAGGACCAAATGTGGATGTTCTAATAAAAAAATGATTAAAAGTGGACTGCCACCTATAAATCTAGTACCAAAAATGGAATTAACTCTAAATCTAAACAATGCTATTATTTATCAAACTAATTGCTTTTGAGTTGAAGCTGCCATATTAGGTACACTGCCATGTAGGGACTATCGTTTTAATTGTTGGAATACTAATATCGAGGTACAGCGACATTTGAACTCCTGGACTAATTTTGACTTGTATTAATTAACTTCTGTCAATGCAGTTTGATGAACAAAAAGAGCAAGCAACTGTTGAGCGAATTTTGCGAGTGATTTTCCTGGACCCAGAGCGCCCTTCTTCAGTAAGAATGAATCATTTAATGTTTCTTTTGAATGTTTACAGTCATCATTTTGAAAATCCACCTTAAAAGGACTTGATTTTTCAAGGCACTGGATAAGCTGAAGCGTCAGTTGGCTGAAGCTGATGCTGCAACAGAAGCTTGCAAGAAACCTCCAGCTGATACGGGCCCAAAAGTTGTTGGAGAAGGCCTTGTAATTGATGAATGGGTAAGCATGTTTGCCTGTTTATAAATAAGGATGCTCATGTTAGGAATTATTTTTCTGATGAAATACTTTTGGCCATCTTTTGTTCTGCAGAAGGAGCGGAGGGAAAAATATCTTGCTCGTCAACAAATTGAGGAAGTGGAATCAAAATAGAGCTATCTCTCTCCCTCTCCCTCTCTCTCTCTCTCTAGTGTTTTTGGGTGTAAGTGAGTGAATGGAATATCATGCCAAAACCACCCCTTTAATGGTGGAGAAGGGCTGTGTTGTGCATCATGTATAGATGAATAATGTGACTGGAGATTATTTTTTGTGTGCTGAAATCTTATGATAGCCAGGGTTCTAGCTTTACTTCTTGTAGATATTCTTTTAACCTGGCCTTTTCCGGAGGTTAGTATAAAACCACAATTGTGAATGCATTTTTAATCCCTAGCATACCTTGTATGTTTGGTGAATCAAAACCATGTATACATTGCAGTGAAAGATTGTGTTTTTTACGATATCCTGTTTATACCATTTTACCTATTACCTTAAAGAATGAATTACTTCTTTTTTTTTTTTTTCATTGTTCTGCTGCCAATTCAATAGGTTCTTGGCAAAGTTTTCTTAATACATAAATGGATTTGGTTGATGAGGTGAAAAGATTAGTTCATGAAAAGGGAGTTCTTTAGATTATGTATTCCAAATCTAGCTTATGTTAGTTGGCTGAAGACTTTCATCTGGAAGCTGTCCTACAGCCTTTTTAATGTCATCACTCATATAGCCGTTGTATATATATATATATATATATATATATATATATATATATATATATATTCAGTTCATAAATAGAGTTTGAAAAGTTGTAGGCTTGTTTGTTTAGAGCTCGTGAACAAGCTTGTTTGTATGTTTAATAATGTTCATGAACAAGCTCGTATAGTGTTCATTTAATATACAAACATGAACAATCTCCGTTCGTTCAGGTTCGTTAATAGCTCTAGGGGGAGGGGGCAACTGCCCCCACTGTGGGTCCGTCGCTATGTTGAAGTGTCAAATGTACAAACTCGTATTTCAAATTAATTTAGAATAACTTGTTGATGTTTGATATTTTGTTATAAACATTTTTTTTTATCATTTGCATTTCGCCCTCACTCAACTATTTTTCTAGATCCGCCCCTATATAGATGCAACATATGCCCCTTTGCAAATTATACCTTAGACCATAATTCATATTGCAAGGTGAACCATTTATACAAATTTTGTAAATAGTATATTAAATATGAACATGTATTAAAATATAATAATATAATAAATATACTAAAAACGAATCTGTAGTATACTAAAAATGAACATATATGTTAATGCCTATTTTATAATGTGAATTATAATCTAAGGTATAACAATTTAAGCCCCTTATAGACGACAAATTTTACTGTAGACCATGATACATGTAGCAGTGTGGTCCATGAAGTAAGTACCATTTTAATTACACTTCAGTTTCATTTGACAATATTGCTCTGTTTTTCAGTTTAATTTTCCACACACATTAGTTTCCTTATAGCAATACCAAAGTATCATTTTAATTCTACTACAGTCTCATTTGACAATATACATTATTGTATGAGCTTTATTTTGTAGTTTCATTTTCCACACCCTAATTTAATTATAGTAATATTACAGTAGTACTTTTTTTTTTTTTTTTTGAAAGTCAGTAGTACTTTAATTACACTCTAAGTTGATTTGACCATGTACGTTATTGAATGTACTATATTTTTTACTTTCATTCTCTACATATATTAAAAAAAAAATTAACAAATGGATTTAAAAATTCATGGTCAAAGTGGTGGTATATCGGTGTTGTGGAGCGTGAGTGCGTGATCGTAAGGTCATACGATCAATCCACGCTCACGGCATTTTTACAGTTTATATTATCCTGCATCGGTCTTCGCTCTTGGCTCTTATTTACCGACAATTCATAAAAATTATTAATAAAAAAATACTCCGTAACTAAAGAAAAGAAGAATCGCTCGCAGCCAAAATTTTATTTTTCATTCTCTCGGAATAGTGCAAAACACAGTGAATTTTCAGAGGTTGTTCTTCCTCTCGAGCTCTGTTTGATGCGATTGTAGCAAGGGGATGCCAATGAGGCGAAGGTCGTTTGATCTTCGAAACAGGCCCGCAAAGAGAAGATACTCCAAGCTGGGATGGTTGTTACTCTTCGCTTTCTTGACCTTTCTCTTCTTCACTCTCTTCCGTCACAAAAACCCTTCTCCTTCCACGCCTTCTTTACTTCAGGTACTCACTGATCTCACTCCACAATCTTATTTCTTTATTTATTTATTCAATTGCATCTCGTTTTCCCAATTTTGGTTTCAGATCATTACCCAAAAATTCAATTTTTTGTGGGTTAGATGTTGTGGATGGCATTTTCTTGTGGTCTGAAAAGAGTGATCTTTTGTAGATAAATGTGACCCATAGGCTCTCTATTGCAGTGCTTATATTTTAGATAGGAGTTAGTATCCATTCATTTGTTTCTCTGATTTGGGATCATTCTGTTATTTAAAAAAAAAAAAAAGAACTCAGAATTGTCATTTCTTAGGTTTTCAGAAGCATGGTGGTGTAACAGATTGATAAAAAGGTTTGAACTTTGCAGAAAATGTTGACCTGTAAGCTAGATTTCAAGAATGTTATTCCATACGAATATTAGTATAATTGCTTGACTTTTTGTGTTGGAAACTTTACTTGAATATTTGCTAAATTTTCTTTGATTCTGGATGGTGGTTTTTAGAAGTATTTGGGTTTCACAGATCAAAGAGAAGCAGACCCTTAGGCTGCAGCTCTATTGCTAGTGTATATCATGCACAGATGAATTTGAATACATTTCTTAACCTTCTGTTTCTGTAACCAGAAGTGAAATAAGTGATGTTTTTTCCTATTAATTTCTGACTGAGATTTATTAGCTTTCTTTTAGAAGCTTTGTGGTATTACAATTTTTTTTTTTTAAAATTGAAATTTGAAGAAAAATATAGCCCACCGCTATATTAAAAATTTCATTTGAAGGAATTGAGGTGGTATGTGAATGTCATTTAATTCGATTACACCAATGAAATAGGATTCTAAGTGCCCAGTTGGACGCTACTAGTGTCTAAAATTTCGTGATCTAATCATTAATTGAATTTAATTTTACTTCACATTTTAGGAAACTGACAAATTTTATTCTCGATATCACGTTTTAGCTTTGTTCTATGATAGATTCTTTTTTCTTTTTATCATGAACATCCCATTGAAGGCCCATCTATCAATAATATGAAAATATCTGAACTGCGATTTGCTGTAATGGTTTACTAAGAATTGAATTTCGTTAAGCATGAGATTTTGTGTAGGTGTAAATTCACACACCTTTTTGGCTTCTTTTTTTTTTTTTCCTGCATGGCAATGTTAGTACATAAAATCCTGATGTTCTTATGTAACTGTTCAGGGATATAATAGACAAAGTAAAATTTTGGAAGGTCTTAATGTCACTGAAGAAATGTTGAGCCCGTACTCAATAACAAGGCAAATTAATGATCAAATATCTCTTGCTAAAGCGTTGGTTATAATTGCGAGAGAAAGCAACAACCTTCAGCTTGCATGGGAGATAAGTGCCAAGATCCGCAAATCGCAAGTCCTCCTATCAACTTCAGCTACAAGTAAAACTCCTTTGACAATGAAAGAGTCAGAATCTGCAATTCGTGATATGGCACTTTTGATTTGTCAAGCCCAGCAACTTCACTATGATAGTGCAACGATGATTATGAGGTTGAAAGCCAATATCCAGTCTCTTGACGAACAAGTACATTCTTTGAATGAGAAGAGCTCTAAATATGGACAAATCGCTGCTGAGGAAGTTCCAAAGGGGCTATACTGTCTGGGCATCAGGTTAACGGTTGACTGGTTCAGGGACTCAAAGTTGCAGCGTGAACAGAAAAGGAGGAAGGGTCTGGTTGCTGGGAAACTTGAGGATACTAATCTTTATCATTTTTGCGTTTTTTCTGACAACATCCTAGCAACTTCGGTTGTGGTCAATTCAACAGCTTTGAATGCGAAGGACCCGAGTTTGATTGTGTTCCACATTGTGACTGATGAGATAAATTATGCCCCCATGAAAGCTTGGTTTTCGATGAACTCATTCCATGGTGTTACAGTAGAAGTTCAGAAATTCGAAGACTTCACTTGGCTCAATGCTTCGTATGTCCCCGTTCTCAAACAATTGAAAGATTTAGACACCCAAAATTATTACTTCTCTGGAAGTCACGGTGATGACAAAACCCCTATCAAATTCCGTAATCCCAAGTATCTTTCAATGCTCAACCACCTTAGGTTCTACATTCCTGAGGTTTTCCCGAAGCTTGAGAAGGTAGTGTTTCTAGATGATGATGTTGTGGTTCAAAAGGATCTGTCTCCCTTGTTCTCCATTGATTTGAATGGAAACGTAAATGGAGCCGTTGAGACTTGCATGGAGACATTCCACAGATACCACAAATACTTGAATTACTCCCACCCGCTTATACGTGCACATTTTGATCCCGATGCTTGTGGCTGGGCCTTTGGGATGAATATCTTTGATTTGGTTCAATGGAAGAAGAAGAACGTGACTGGAATATACCACTACTGGCAAGAGAAAAACATTGACCGAACACTGTGGAAGCTTGGGACCTTGCCACCCGGACTTTTAACGTTCTATGGCTTGACTCAAGCTCTGGATCCCAGTTGGCATGTTTTGGGACTGGGATATACAAACGTTGATTCGCAGTTGCTTGAGAAAGGTGCGGTGCTACATTTCAATGGAAATTCTAAGCCATGGCTGAAGATTGGGATGGAGAAATACAAACCAGTGTGGAACAAATATGTAGATTATTCCCATCCAATATTGCAGCAATGCAATGTGCACTGACATGGCATGCTGTTGGTTACTCGATTAGCTTAGCAGTATTGCAGACTGAGACTGTTTGTTTCTTTGGTTTTTCCAAACATGAAATGAGGCTTGGTAGAGTCATAGTTGGGAACACAATCTTTTTTGTTTGTACCTTAGAATTGTCTAAAGTTATTCAAATGTGATTGTTAGATAGATGCATGAGCATCATGTATCCCATTTTGAAATATGTAGCAGCAGATATCTATTCATTCCCCTCTTTGATAATTGAGAGATTTGTAACTTAGATTCTTGTTTCTTTATTCATGTCTTTTCTTTTCTATCTATACCCCTCTTATGTCCATCATCTATACTTGTGGTCTTTTGAATCCATTCATCTTTGCCTGCATTTTACACTCAAATTCATCCTACAAAATCTCCTGAGAAAGTTAAGGACTTCTGATTCTCCAGAAAAGAACAAGCACATATGGAGACTCAAAAGAGCTCATAGGGGGGGATGTCTAGGTAGGTAAATTGTGGATAAATGTTCATTTTTAGTATATTGAATGTTTATTCTTAATGTACTGAAAGTTCATTTTTAGATAGTATACTAAAGAATGAATCTTCAATATACAAAAAATGAACATTTAGGGCTCGTTTGGTTCGTGAAAAATATTTTAAAGGAAGTGGAATTGGAATTCCATGGAAAAACAATTACTAGGAAGATGAATTTCATTGTTTGGTTGGTGGAAAAAGAATTACCAGGAGTACTAATTCTATTGTTTGGTTAGATTTGGAATTGTAAGGAATAATGAGTATAAAGACCTATATGCACCAAGGATTTTGTTTTCCTCAAAATTTGAGGAATTCATTTTCCAATGTAAAATGAATTCCATGAACCAAACACAAGAAAACAACATATTCCTCTACTTTAAGGAAAACATTTTTCATGAACCAAACATCCCCTTAATGTATTAAAAATGAACAGTATACTAAAAATGAATCTTATATTAGTGGTTCAGGCATGAAGGGGCCATTGACTACCATGACTATGGAAGAGGCTAATACCATAGTTAATTCCTGGATCCTAACATTTTTCAGTTAAAATAATGAAAACATACCTGATAGGGAATTGAATGTAAACCTTTCTGCAAATTGTATTTCCAACAATATTATTTCAAGTGTATACAACATGAAATTATAAGCTTCCTAAATCACCAACTGATATTATTTTCTGATAACTAAAATATACAATGTGTTCCCATCTACATAATACATACAAACTGTACTTGGTACTTTCATGACCTAATTTGAGTGGCAGCACAATGGAAATCAGCAACCTACTAAAGAAAGCAGTGAATATATAGACACAACCACACTGGCTTCCTAGTACATCTTCCTAAGAGTAAGCATCATATAATTAATTACTTATAGACCTGTATTTGGCAGATTAATTCATCTATACCATTTCATTCCTAAAATGCGAGAGGGGTTACTTAAAGCTGTTACTAATTGATCCTTTCCCCACCACCCTTTTTGACGCCTATCTTTTGAATGCTCAAGCTTGTGCAGATTTGCCCTTGCGTCCTTTAATCGAGCATTGTAATCTTGCTTCCATTCAGTAAACTGGCGTTTCAGTCTTTTGAGCTCTGCTTCGGGAGAAGCTGAGTGTGGCTGCATTGCCTTCAGATGAACAATATTTGCAGCATCATCTTCAAATTTTTGTCTCTTTAGTTCAAACTCATTTACAAGTTGACTAACTGCAATAAGACTACCGTCTCGTATAGATTCAGTATCAGAATCATAGTTACTCGATTTCATTGAAGCGCTTCCTGTAGGGCTGGAAATTCCCATAGGTGAGCTTGTAGTTGTAGAGTCAAAAGAGGGAGTAGATGAGTGACCAAGACTGCCACTAACAGTAAGACACTTAGCTAGAGCAAGTTTTGCCTGTTTCAAAACATAGTATGTTACACAAGGTCAGTCAATAATTTCAAATGTTTTTCACAAGTTAAAAAGGATAGAAATTATTTGAAGAACATCATTTATTCATGTTAGTTAATCTCGACAATAGACTGCAGAATATGCATAAACTATCATCTTATATAATTTATTTTTTCCATTGACATAAAACAGTTCAGTTAGAGAATGTTTCAAAGAACTACGGTGACTAAAGTCTAATTAATGATAAAAGTTCACAGTTCAGGGGGTAATTATTTCCTGGTAACACTTTCATAGGCTTTTCAGGGACGAAAATAATAACTACCAGAACCCTATCCATATAGATTTTGATATCATAGTGAGTAGACAGCTGCTCACCTGCAAATTTCCCATTTGCTTTTGCCATATCTCCATAGAGTTCATCTTGGCCTCATATTCTGATAATCGCATCTCAAATAGTTTCACTTGTTGTTTCAAAGCTGCATTTTCTTTTTCCTTCTCCCCAATGGTTGTCTCAGCCTTTAAAACCCGTTTTTCAAGTTCTTCCAGAACAGAAGGTAGAACTTCTGGAGGTGTATCCTGTTAACATGTTTTAAATTACTCTAAAATTAGCAATACTCACAGAGATTTAAAAGAGTGTCACTTAATTTTGCAGAATCAGATTAGTTAATAACGTTTATTATGCAACTTCAATGCATTAAAAAGAATCATAAAGAGAATTCGAGGTAAGAGATAGTATGACAGGATAAGAAAAATTGAATTTTTTTTTTTCATGGAGTACCTTCACCGGCTTCACTCCTGAAATCTTTCTGCTTGCATTTTGGACTCCTGAAATCTTTCTGCTTGCATTTTGCTCCTTGATAATTGACTTTTTCGAATTCTGCAGGCTAATAAAATGTCTTCGAGACAAGAATGCACGAATTGCTGCAGGGGTAAAACAAGAATCCATTAAACGCAATAGTCCATACTAAAAGTCATGAAATGTTAAAACACGAAACAGCTAAAATCATACCTGTTTGTATCTGTACAGCGGCCACCAACTCCTCATCAAGTTTTTTGCGTTCTACTTCCTCCTTTGACTTTAGCAAAGCATCATACTGCTTTCGATCAATTTCACCACGAACAACTACAAGAAAAGAGCATTTTTCAACTTTATATCTCCATATACAAATATAAACTCAAACACTCTATTAAGCTCCAATGAAATCAATGGTGAACTTTAGGGATAGTGTAGATTGGCACCGTTTCATTATTTTGGAATTCTCTCACCATTGGAGAATAAAATAAGAAAACTGGTAATACCATGATACAGTGTGAGTCGTGTGACCAGATTCACCAGAACGCATGGGAACTTAAGAATTTATCCTAGTTTCTTAATTTTTCAAAACTTCTGTTCTCCAAAGTAACCTATATATTTGAAACCAACAATTTAAAGCAGTTTGACTTACTAGATTGAAGTGCCATTACACTTCCTTTGAGTTCATGGAAGCGACGATGAGCAAGATGTCCACGAAAGCGTTTTTGCACCTCAAGAGTACCTTGGAGAACTTGTTTTCTCATGTTCTCCAATGCAGCAATCTAGAAATTACAATGAAAAAAATCAGAAAAATAATTAATAAATAAAAAGCACATGGAGAGAATATATTACCTTATTTTATTTTATTTTCGAATTTTTTTACTGTCCTTTAGTCCAGTGTCTTAATAGAAGTTCATATTGGCTGCATTACTTGTAGAATTTCAGGGCTTATACTTTTGTTCTCATTTTGCACTACTTAACATAATTCCCCAAATTCATTGAAAACCATTTATTTCTTTTTGGAAGAAAAAATCTAATAAAGAAAACTAACATCCAAACATATATTTAGGATATAGAATCACTTAGCAATGCAGTCTACTACAATTCCATAGCAAGAAGAAAAAAGAATCAAGGTATGACGCATTGACTCACTTGTCCTGCTCGGAAATATAATTTGGTGTACCCAACTTGGTACATTTCAGGATGGATATTGAATTTCTGCAGAATGGCAACTGATGCACTTAAAGGATCTCTGGACACATTATTTTCCGAAAGGAGGAAGCCATATCTGAAGCATATATGGGCACAGATACTTGAGTTTTACTAACAACAAAAAGAGAGAAGTGAGCAACAAATGAAAAGCTGGACACTCACCTTTCTGTGAAATCTTGATGTGTCATCCTAGTAGGATAGCCAGCTCTTGAGATCCTTACAACTTCTAGAATCCCACAGCATTGAAGTTGCTGTAGGACAAGATCTTTCTCAAACACCCCAGGAATCTTCTTAGTATTTGACTTTATGCAACGAATGAAGTGTGGTGTAGTGTTTTCCAACTGCTGCATTAATTGGAATAACTGACACTGCAAAGAAAGTTTGATGGTGCCTTTGTAAACATTTGTCATGAACAAATACAATCACCTGTTATCTCTCATTAACTTGTTATTCGAAACAGTACCGGCTCTTAGAAATAAGAAAATGAAGCAAAACTCTTTACCTTAAATTTTGTACCAACACTTTGTTTCCGAACATCTGACACAGCAAACTTTGTTGTTGGACTTGATTTCTGAGATTGGTTAAGCACAGAACTGATAAACAACTGAAGTAGTTGGGAACTGCATGATGAGAGCAGCCGAATAATATCAGAATGCAAAACATCTCTGTTCTTTTCCAAGAAACCGCTGGCACTATAGAGAACCTAAAGAAAACAGAAGTAAGTTTTAGTCCCGTCCTGAATCATCAAATTTTCAGTATTAATCACTGGCTAAAGCAAACTAAACTCAATATCAAATATCATCTTCCCATAAAATTGCATTTACAATACAGCAGCTAGAAGTATCAAAGCCCATCACTTTGCAGACAGTAGAACTGAATTTTTTTTTTTAAATTACAAGTTTGTATTTTAGTTAACCACCTATGCCATATCAAGATTATTCAGCAAATGAATAAAATAAAATAACAACAGGGCACTGTCACTTTGCACTCTATGACAATCCCTAATATATGAAAATTTAGATATCTCAAATGCCAAAATTACTGAAAATTTTTACATTTGGTAATATCTCAAGACCCAAACAAGAAGTGCATAAGAGCACAAGGCATCTTACAGCGTACATGCAAGTAACTGCAATACTAAACTGATGCCCCAAAACAATCAGATGGAAAAGCAAAAGAGGATATGAAAATATCAAAAGTACATGCACCATTAGTAGACTGCAGACAATGGAATCACAACAGAGCCTAGGCTTTCTACAGCAAGTTTCAGATGCATTCTAATTAACATTGACAAGAAAATCTAACCTCGCCAGCATAATGCTGAATACTGAATGCTCCTCCCCGTTCTCCTTTTAAGCACTGATTTGTTTTCAAGTGCTCCTTAAGTTTATTGGCAAAGGTTAAATCAGTAGCTTTAGGGAAATTTGACTCTTCATCCAGCAAAGCTATAAGCCCAATTGGTTTCTGCAAGGTGCATTGCAAGTAAACCATAAATCAACAAAGTAGGTCCACATCAGGACATATCAGAAATGTCATAAACATAATACCTTAGCTAAATGGATAGCTCCTTTTTCCATTGAAGAGAGGCAGTCAAGCAAGTAACTGCCTACTAAATAAATTTTGTGCATTGCAGTAATGAAAGAACAGTTAAGTTTATTAGAAAACTAGCATTCTACAGGTTTTCTTATTTATCATATGCCGCAAACTCAAGGGTAATGGACATACTTGAGGAGTCTTAGTATTAACACATTTTGGAATATCAAGAGACACTTCAGCTACCTCTCAAGCCTATAAATACATGGGCTATTCCCTATCATGTTATTATAAATCTATAATCAAGTTATTGCTCTATCTTATGTCTTGTTCTACTCTTGTCTTTTACTTAACACATAGCTTCTGCCTTATCAGCTGGTAGTGGCTTTGCCACCTGCTGGACTTTCCAACTCATTATTTCTTAATGCGAATATATTCATTAAACATTCAGCAAAAATTGTAATCATAATAATGGTGCAATTTCATAAGGAACTCTATTCAGCAGAATGTTTACACACACATACAAAATTTAAAAAAAAAAAATATCAACAGGGAAGAAAGAGAGGTTGAACAAGATAAACCAAAGCAAGTGTACAAGTGTATAAGGATTGTAATACTCCATATCATCATCCAAAAAGTGACTCCTGGATGTATAATGAATAGAATAAATAACCAAATAGGAGGGAATACCTGCTCAATGAGATCTAAACAGGCTTGGTTGTCTTCAAATTCAACTTTTCTCCAGTCAATTCCATCCAACTCATATTCCTGTAATCAAACCAACAAGTAACGATACCATTATAATATGTTCATTTTAAACAAAGATCCTGTAAACTTATGGTAAAAATGCTCCAGTTTGTAAATGAAGAAAACTATACTAATATCATATCAAACAATAATAATAAACCCAGACTTAAATTGGAATAAATTCCTAGGTCATACTTCTATGTGAATCCAACAATCACACTACAACTTAGCGTATAAAAGCTAATGTTTATTCCATATGTCCAGCTGCACCTAACAGCTTTTGTTCAGTTTACAGACATTAATAGAGGCGTCAAAAGATGAAAAAGAACTACCAATGCAAGTATGATTACCTCTTGCTCAAGTTTGAATAGATGACGATTAAAATGCTGTTGAAGCCTCTCATTTGCATAGTTTATGCAAAACTGTTCAAAACCATTATTCTGTGAAGAAAATATGAAAGCAAATGGTAAAGTGTGGGAAACAGTTGCTGTTAAATGACAATCATAGTAAAAGACTAAAAGATATTAAAAATAAACAAAAAAGGTTCAATTTACCTTAAATGATTCAAAACCATAAATGTCTAGAATATTTATTGATCTACCAGTATGTTGCTTTCCCATTGCAAGCGATGTATTTATCTTATCTACTACAACCCAGTCAAACAAGCTTGCATATACAAATTTTGCCAATGCATCTCTTGTATCAATTGCCTGAATGAAGTTAACACACATTATGTTATGGTGGATAAGATCCTAATAAATTAGTTTCACTGATATCATAGCAGATATAGATGCACTCGTCCACATTCATGTTATTTGATGGTGCAACTGTCTAAGAAATGTAATTTAGTAAAATTAACCAGACAACAACTTAACATACCTGCTGGATTGTTAATTTTTTGGAAATCTCATCGTTGCCTGCTTGTATTCTACGTGTTGATAAAGCTAGCATGAGGTCATGGGGACTGCACCCTATCAAGCTAGCTGCATTGGTAACAGCTGCAAATAATTGTAATATATTAGCTTACACACCTTGACATAAGCATCCAGGTCATGAAACAGCTTATTACTGAATGCATCTTAACAGAAAGAGACTCTTGATTCAAAGAGAATATGTCTTGTTTCTAGTGTCATCATATAAAACAGACACAATGCAAAACTTGCACATACAAAGTGAACGAAGAGCTGTTTTTAAGATAAAAATAAATAAATAAAAAAGAATTTAACATAATAGCTTACCTTCATTAGCCACAGGCTCAACATGGTTTTCACTGTCAATCACTTCAAATGAAATGTTTCCCAGCCATAACACTGCGGCAATCAACTCAAAAGCATGCATTTGATCTCTTTCACAAATCTTGACACTGTTTAGGGCTTCCTGATAAAACAGAATGTATACGCCAATTAATTCCATAATAGATCGATGGAACTATAAAAAGAAGCTAAACCACAAAAGAATATATATAATCTATTAGATCACCGTGAGCATATGAAACTCATTAGCATCATCAACACCACTTATAACCAAGCAGCCACTTTGATTGAGATAGTTGAACTCAGATGCATCTTTTAACTTCAGTTTATCTGCAAAAAACATCAGATTGAATTATAAGTAGGTATCAAGTATGGCAAAAAAAAAAAAAAAAGGTAGGTTTATTGCCCAATAGAAAACAAAACAGCATGAAGAAACCATATAAGACTTGTTATTTGATCCCCAACCCCCCACATCTAGCAAATAAGAAACTGTTACCAGAGAGAAGAACACAAAATGGAGCCTGCATATATAATCAGCCTCTTGTTTTTACCTCTTAAAGTAAAGATGGGGGAATCAAGAGGAGAGCTTCTAGAGTTGAATGCAAACATTTTACCTCTGAGACCAGACGGAGCACCAGCACAAAGCTGGTAAAAGATATGGTATGACCTCTCTCCCTGGGCCAGCTGAACCACTCTTGACTGCACATTTGAGATTATATTGATAGAATGAGCTTGAACGATGGCAGAAATTTATCAATAAATATGTAAAGTAGGGAAAAGTAGAAAGCTATCCACCTTTTCAAGAAGAACTGCTCATTGTTTGGGCATCAATATATTTTACATACAAAAGATTTTAGAATAAAGAAAAGTTTAATCACATGATTGAGACACATATCAAGGAACGAAATTTCTTGGCCAACTTGTCAATATAGAGTTGCTTACAAGTTTGTAATTTAGCACCAAGTATTTTTCCTGTTGCACTAAAATGAATCTCAGTCAATTTACCCTGCAAAACATCAGAAGCAACTGTCAAGTAACTGTATAATCTTGGAATGACAACAATCATGAAGAGCTCAATAAAGTGGGATGCTCTCCTATCCTAAACTCAGATGTCACTTACAAAGCGACTGGAGTTGTCATTTCTAGATGTTTTTGCATTTCCGAAGGCCTCTAATATACAGCTTGTACGCAGTACTTCATACTCTATCCCATTGCTTCCTCCACCAAGAGCAGCCAAGTATTCCATGGCAATTTTTGCTGTTTCTGTCTTGCCAGATCCACTTTCTCCACTACAAGATATAAAACGAAATTATTTTCTAAAACACAGTAATTAGAACCAAAGACCAAACTACATCACTGATACAAATTAGCTGATGAGACATAGTGAGGAACACATTTTAAATAATAGCAAATGAGCCTCCACCTTACTGAAACTAAAAGAGAGACAGCTTAACAAACCTGATGATGATGGACTGGTTTTTTCCTCCTGCATGGTACATAGAAAAGGCAGCATAAGCGATGGGTCATTTTCACCCAAAGTTTAAAATTTCTAAGAACAAACTTCAGTATTATCCATTTTCAAAAAAAAAAAAAACTTCAGTATTGTCCTGTACCTTCCATCATTTCATTGTAGGCTTTGTCAGCAATAGCATAGACATGAGGACTATCCATCAACTTCTTCCTGTAAGCTGTGACAAATTCATTCCCATACACTTGGACATCTTTGAAGGGATTAACTGCTATTAAAACTGGACCAGCCTTACTCTGCATGAGCAGGAAAGAATAAGAACAGAAACAAACAATAAAGGGATGCACATATAAAGAATATGCATTAACACATACATATATTGCTTCGCGAGAATATCTGCTTTGCAAGTTGTTAAGAACTGATGGCTCATTCAGATAACTAAGTTGTATGAGATCATCAACTCCCTCAAGAATATCTGGATTTGCAGGTAAGAGGTCTGCTGTGGGCACTGTCACAACCTACAGTATCAAAGAAATCTGAGTACTATATCCTGAATACTATGTGCTGAAAAACCTAACTATTTAGAGTAAGAAATAACAAGAATAGATGAACTCACACTTTCATCTGAAAGCAAAACTGCAGATTTCTCTCCTGAAGTTGATTGTATCTGTCCTGATTCCCACTGTCCATTTTGTAGGCGAGACCAAACACGAAGTTTCTGAAACAAAATGCTAAAGGGTTGAGTTTCCCCGGCCAAATAGATTTAATAAGCGTGTGTGTTTGTGTCTTCATGTTAAGACAAGGAGTTATACACTGAAAATAACCATATTGATCAAGAGAATTTTAAAATTTACACCTCAAATCAGATGAAGTGCCTAAAAGAAGTGCACGAGTCTATATAAAAATGAATCTATATAAGCCTTACAAAACCCACAGATACTGAACTCATCAAAAGAAAAACTCTCTGGGATTGTAAAAATTGAACGGTCAATAAACAAAGAACGATATGTAAGAGCAAGAAAAAAAAAATCCTTTGTTTTTACCTTCTTAATGAAATAACTAATGTTATCATTCCATTCAGACTCGTGAAACCTCGGGTGCAAGGCCTGAGATGAACCGGCAAGCTTTGCTTCATCATCTCGCTGCTCCGATGTCCGTGTAGAGTCCTTCCCTTGGGCTGACGTGAGGTAAGGCGATTCGCTGGGCTCCATTTCCTTTGTAGCCTCAAAACTATTCCCTCTCACCTCTTTAACCTCTTCTTTCACCGAATCACTGTTCAATGACCTCTCCACTTCAACATCAGGATCATTAAAGCTTTTTGGCAACACTCTTTTGGCAGATGGTAGCCTCGTTCTGGCCTTAGCCCGCGGCCTCGTCGGCAGCTCCGGAAGCGAGTCTATTGGCTTCTCATTCCCCTGCTTTTCCCGGAGAGTCTCCAGCATTACTTCCAGCGAGCTCCGAGCCTTTATGTTAGGCGAAACGCACACCATTTTTCTCGGCAAATTATGAAAAAAAAAAAAAAAAATCCCTCCAATTCTAAATCAACAACACAGAAATGCCTGCAGCCTTATTGGAAATACGACGAATGCCGCCAGAGAAACGGTTCGAAACCCCTCTCCGAATCAGAAATCCAAACAAACGCCGTGGAAAGCCATTCCAGACCAAAATATGTACCATGAATCCATAAAAACCAGAATTCTCACGTTTAATACTTACGAAAATCCAAATTGAATCTTACAGTTAATGATGATCGAGGAATGAAAATGCAATCGATAATGAAAAAGAAAAAAGTGCGGGAACACATAACAGAATGGGATCAGATTTTCTGGGTTAGTTGGGACTTGGGAGCACCTATATTTGGAATAATGACTATTTTGGCCCTCCATTCAACTGTGTGCATATGCAGTTCTTATATATGTACGTATTTGTATTTTATCCGAATTCCTCGGCCTCGGGTGCATAATTTACTAGAAATAAACAGAATCCTGTGTTTAGTATTGTTTTTAGGTGGATTAATGGTGCAACACAAGCATTCAATATTTAGTGATGTAATTCAAGATTAGGTAATTTTATAGTTAGCTAGATGATTAAAATAATGTTTTTGGTAGGATAAAGTTAGTATGAATAAAAAATTTTCATTATTTGATGTGGTAATAAATTTTTTTATAATATATTATGAATTTATCGACCTTATTTCGTGTTAAAAAAAATAAATGTACTTATATTGTCATGTTAGATGGTAAAAATTTTTTGTCCTTATAACAGTATCTTTGTTGGTATTAATTGTAATTTGTTGAATACAAGAATGAGCTAGGATCCCAAGTCACAATTGGAAGGTGAGTAAAAATGCTTAGATGGAAATGAGTGAGTGGTGGACGAATTAAGATTAATACAGATGGTAGCAATGACGGTAAAATTGGTAAAGCAGGGTGTGATGGTCTCATAAGGGATGAAAAGATTGAAAGGTCGTACATAATTATTATTAATTATTCAATTTTTAATCGGTTATTGACTATAACGACTGATGTTCACCTTTACGCGCAAATGAGCTTCCACATGGATAACTTAAAAAGGAAAAAAGAAAGAAAGAAAGAAATTGACAAAACTCCAAATTATAAAAGTTCTCATTCAATTCCTCTCTCTTCTTTCTTCCATCTCGACCAAAGTCCCTCAAGAATTCAACCATAATCTCTCATTGAAAATGCCCTTATAGATCTTAGAGAGGGAGTCCACATGATAATTATAATAGAACATTTTATCTTAGCCTAAATCTCTTGATTTGGATTCTCTAGACCCATTACGGGTTAGGTTGAATAATAAATTATTCTTTTCAAAGGTTAAACCCCAATCTTAAGGGTCCCCACACCTCGGTCCAACAGAGCATCTAGAAGGATGTAAATCATGGTAAACCTTTATGCACTTTTACCTCTATGATCAGTTGAGCTGTCCATGCAAGCAAAACTTGAGTCTAGCGCCTCAGACCACTCGGTCATCCTGACAAATTATAATTGGATTAAGTGATGATCACCCTATCCAATTAATCAAAATTTCCGACATGTTATTATTGTCTTAAAAGTTAAAATTTATCTTTCAAGATTTTTAAGTTGCTAGACTGATTGCTAAGCACCTTGTGCTCAGATGATACATATATGGCTCCCATTGAGGGAAAGTCACATGATCAAATCTCGGTAGGGAATGCTAGGCTGATTTCTTTATTTCCTATGTATCAAAATAATTTTAGTATTTCTTGATCTACAATTTCAATCTCTTTTGGACTCAATGTAGTAGTCTTTGAACTCAATTTACCAATGATATGTCAAATTAGAGACATTTGGTGTTGTTGGTTGTTCTAAGGAAAGTGGTATCAAAAAATTTTGATCAAAATTTAACTAGATTAGATCTTATAAGATGCATATACTAATGCAATATATGATGATGATGATGATAACAACAACAACAACAAATTTTTGTTTCTGTATGTTAGCTATGTAAAATTGTAGTGTGAGAGTCTTTGAGTATAATGATTTTATCAATTTTGATTCACAATTTTAAATTGATCCATTTTAGTTTTCAAGTATTGCTTTTTTGTCACTTTTTATCCCTACTAGATTTTTATCAAATAGTCATTTAAGACATGATGAAAATATTATTTTATTATATTTCCTTAAATCAATTTTTTTAAAATACTTATAATTCTTTATAAGGTAAATCAAAATTCTTATCATCGGAGTTCTATCATGTAACCACCCATTTGGAATATTAACAGATGTGTCATCACACTATATGATAATTGGCAATCAATTCAAAGTCAAAGAAAAAAAAAATCATAAATCATCCTATATCAGTATATTGTTGGCAAATTATGTTGTGGACCGTGTCCACCTAGTAAGGTAGTCACAGTTCCAAAACTAATCATAATTATGAATATATAGTTCAAAAATTATGAACATATAGTTCTATAATTAGGAACATAAAGTTGTGAACATAATTATGAACATATAGTTCTGTAATTATGAATATAGAGATTCAATAATTGTGAATATAAAATTTAAAATTTATGAATATATAGCTTTATAATTATGAACATATAGTTCAGTAATTATGAATATAGAGTTCTGTAATTGTGAATATAGAGTTTAATAATTATGAATATGAAATTCAAAAATTATGAATATATAGTTTTATAATTATGAACATATAGTTCAGTAATTATGAACATAGAACAGTGTCCACCTGACACGGTTCCACAACATAACGATTGTATATTGTTTCAATAGATTTCAACTTTGATGCACTGGGTTACGCTTTTGTAGTCTTTGGACCGTATTGGCCTGGGCCTCTGCATACTAGGATCCATGGTCAGATTTAGTCCATATTAAGAACAATTTCGATTTAACTCATCAATTTTTTTTTTTTTTATCGCAAGTAATCATGTTCAGTGTCGGTCCATATTAATAACAATTTAGATTTATTAACTCTACCATGTTCTTATCGTAATTAAATCATGTTTTACTTAATAGTTGTTCATTTCTTTAAGTAATTAATTACATTAATTTACGAAAAATTTCACAACCGCTATTTAAATATGCGCGGTGAAGTCTGCATTGTAACTAGGTAAACTGTTACCATAGTTAATCATCTCAAATTAAGAAGACTAATAGATAACACTCAAATTGAATCAAATTTAAAAATTTGTAATTATTAAATCAATTGTACTTTCTGTAAATATATAGTTGATGATGATACCAAAACTAGATAAGTATACCATTTACTCATTTTGAATTGCTTTCATCTATATAGTTGTTGTTCTTCATAATATAATTATTGTGGCTATAAAATCATCCATCATTTATTTTAGTTCTTGTGGTTCTAATATGTAGTTTTAGAATTCTTCTATGAATTAATCACCAATGTTGATAATCAGATACAATTAAGTAAAATATACACATGAACAGATACTACAATGTAATAGAACCAGTAGCATTCAAAAAAAAAAAAAAAAGTAAAATATACACATTTATATAAAATATTATTCGCACCAATGTTTATCATATTTAATTAATTCAATCAAATATGATATACGTAATTATACCAAGTATCTCTACAATTTTTTTCGATTACTGTTGTCCCATTGGAACATGTTTAAAGTTGTCTCCATTGTATAGTAGCATCTGTTTCTTGTTCTAGGACTGTGACTCTAATATAATAAAACAAATTGTTTTATTATAGTGCATTATGTTGAGCACGCATATAATATATAAATATAAAATGGGTAATTTAATTATTAATTTAGACTTTTAGTTAAAATGAAACACATCTTTCAATTTGGTATCAGAGCCCAGACGTGAGGAGACATATTTAGCATATATAATATATAATTTGTTTCACTTTTGGTCCTACGACTTTTGAGGTTCTATTACTTTTGGTGCATAACTTTGTTATTTTTATCAGTTCTGGTCATTTCGGTCAAATTAATGGTGAAATATTGCCATATTTTATATTTTTAGAGGTAAAATCATCATCTCACTGAAACATCTTCAGTATCTAAACAAAGTCATTGTAAAATCATATCTATAGGTGTTTGATCGATGAGAATAATGAGAAAAACAAACATAAACTAGAAACATATCTATGAGATTTATAGTGTCAATGATTGATAAATTCTCTTTTTTCTCTTAATATGAATTTTTTCTTTTGTTTATATATATTAAAGACCTTTCCTTTTGATGACGATTTGGCCCCTAAAATATAAAATTCGGCAAAATTTTACCATCAGTTTGGCCGAAAGGACCAAAACTAATAAAAATAATAAAATTAGATACCAAAATTAAAAAAAAATTAAAATTGTGCACCACAAGTGATAAGACCTTAAAAATCGTGAGACCAAAAGTAAAATTAATTATATAATATATAAGCATAAATGCAATTCATATATAAGCATGAGATGAAACACATATTTCAATTCATTAATGCTCTAACACATGCCTTTAGTAGTGCTTTACTCTAAAAATTAATGATAATCCTAGATTAGAGATGGGTTAATTAAATGAGCGGAGGAAATAGAAGCTGCCGGCTGCTTCTTCACTGCCTGCCTGGCTGCCACGTACAGGACGTCATTGTTCCCTGGCCCAAGTGTTTGAATTGTCATCGCCAACACGTAGATATGACTTTATGTCTTTATGAACATAGCAATAAAGCATCAGTGAACTGAGGATATGTATATATGCATATATATGATGGATGGTGATCGAACTTTACATGTCAGAATAACGCGGATATATCCCATTATCTGCCATATATATATTTCGCTTTTTGGAATGGAAAGCCAACAATTTTGATCCAAAATCTTTCGGCAATAAAAAGACATAATATAATGCATGTCACATCTCGTCGTAGCTACATACATTGCCGACGCATTTTAAACATAAGCCAGCGCTGAAGGAAAAGTTTTGATGAGTGGTTTGCCTAAATTAAAAACTATCTTTTTCCAGTAATAATTTTTTTTTTTAAAAGTAAATTTTAGTTTTATATTATCAAATTTATAATTTTTTTATTATTTTCTCTACCTATCTATTGCAAACAATAGTCTTTTTGTTTGGAGAAATGTGTTGCAAATTTTCAGGATCTGAAAACATGCAACCCATATCAAGAAAAAAAAATAGTTTTTTTTTTTTTTTAAACGTGAAAAAAAATAGTTTATTTATTTACTCATCATCTTGAGATTCTGAATTACAGGGATAAATTCAGGCATATGTAAAGCACGACATTCGTTAGTTGTGCCGACTACTCATTTGACGCCTCACTCAAACACCATTATGTTGTTCAGTTGTTGACTGCGCTTATATTCATTTTTAATTAACTG